AAATAAAGTACAAAACAAACGTTGTTACTCAGAGTTTCATGCCTGAGTTTACAGACAATCTTCGGACAACTAAAGTTCTGTTAACTAAATTTGACGGTTTGGTTTTGTTTGCTTGCGCGTGCATGATTGCACGATGGTAGTTACAAACCCTATAGGAAACCGAACAACCAACCACTCTATATCAACAGCCACTCTAACCACCCACCCCCAATTATCAGACAACTACCTGTGTCAATTAATAAAAGAATCTCCCGACTCTCTTCCGACAAACAAGCATTTGACTCATCGGCGCCTCTATACGAACAAGCCCTCCATCACAGCAACTACCAAAGCAAGTTACACTATCAAAATCATAACACCCATAACACACCAAAAAGAAACCGAAAAAGGAATATCACCTGGTTCAATCCGCCCTACAGTAAAAACGTGAGATCCAACATTGGTAAAGATTTTCTACACCTCGTAGATATTCACTTCCCTAAGTCATCCACCCTCAACAAAATTTTCAACAGGAATACCATCAAAGTGAGCTATAGTTGCCTGAAAAACGTGAAATCCGTGATATCCAGCCATAACAATAAGACCCTTTCAAAAGCGCCATCACCAGTACTACCTCCCCCATCACCATCTCGCCTATCACCAACGTTAACGCCAACACCACCATTAAAACCAACACCAACACCAGTGCCACACACCAACAAAACATGCAATTGCAGAGATAAGAATACGTGTCCTCTCAACAAGAAATGCTTAACCAAAGGCATTGTCTACCATGCAAAGATCGCAGCGGAGGACAACGGAGAAACAAGGCACTATATTGGAATTACGGCTACAACCTTCAAGGAGCGTTTTAGGAACCACCAGAAATCATTCAACATCGCTACGTATGCTAACGACACTGAACTGTCGAAGTACATATGGAGTTTGAAGAAAAGCAATCGCCCATACAAAATTAAATGGACAATTTTAAAACATTCAACTGCATACGGATCGGGACGTAATCAGTGCAATTTGTGTAGCGACGAAAAACTTTTCATCATGAAATTTAAAAAGAACTCGCTGCTCAACAAAAGAAGTGAAATATTCTCGAATTGCGTCCACCAAAAACAATTTCTGGCGGGAAAATACATTCGCGTGCAATCAAACAACGTGCGCAATCATGCACGCGCAAGCAAACAAAACCGTCAAATTTAGTTAACAGAACTTTAGTTGTCCGAAGATTGTCTGTAAACTCAGGCATGAAACTCTGAGTAACAACGTTTGTTTTGTACTTTATTTAAATAATTAAATATATTTAGCTCTACAATAAAGTATTGAGCACTCTATATTATATCAAGAAGACTTGAATTGTTATATATATATATACATATATATATATATATATATATATATATATATATATATATATATATATATATATATATATATATATATATATATATATAACAATTA